AGCCGGGCGTGGTGGTGAAAGCGGAGGGACAGGCAGGGAAGGCTTCCCAGAAGCTATGGCACTCAAGCTGGATCTGAGAGCACAAGGAGAATTCAGATGCTCAGAAGAGTGCTCATTCCAGATGAGGGGAGCCATTACTGCAGAAAGTCACAGACAGGGGTAAAAACCAGGTGTGCTTAAACATCAGCAGGGAAAATAAGCTCACCAAGGCTGAGGGGATATTTGATAACCTCAGATTAATGGATTAATGGGCAGGGGAGGGGGCTGCTCAGGCTCTGTGTGCTTGTTGCTATGCTCCTAGGACTTAACATTCAAGTCACTTTTAGATATGTGTACTATGAATGCAAACTCACTCTGAAATGCTCATTTCTCTGTTTTTGGAACAGTGGAAAGGATGCCAGAAAATACAAAGGTAAATGTTTTTTTTTTGCTGTGGAAATAGTCTGCTGGAGTGAAATGTAGGTCACCAAAATCAACTTGCATCTCATCTTCATCTGTCCCTCTTTCAGTGGAGGCAATAAGTGGTAGCCTGAAGGAAGGGGGAGGAGCGGCACTTCAGATCCATCCTTCAATTCCAATCTCTATCAGCCACTCAGCCACTCCAAGCACAACCCTCAACAGAGGTATCCTAGGACAGCCCCAGCCTGCCCCCACCAGCCCTGCCAATCTACAGAAGAAACCCTCCTTACCAAGTTCTGAAATATTACCTGTGCTAGCAGTTGCCTCTAAACCGAGCTCTCAGGGAAACCACTATCATCTGATGCGGTGTTTAAGATATACATTCACTTAAAAGATTCCTTCCATTACCAAGTTAGAAATTATGGTGCCAAAATAAGTGACAGTAGTCCACATTCCTTGTCCAAAGAAGAAAAATCACAAAACAGAAGAATTTTCATTTTGACTGGTGCCCCCTCTAGAGATTCAACAGGTTTGCTAACCTAAGTTGGCAAAGTTGCTTTGTTTCCTGAAATGTAAGGATAGACTTAACACTTGGAAATACCAGGAGCATGACACGAAGCCAGGGAGGGCCCCACAGAAGTTACAGGCTCTGTGATTATTTCCTGAACCAAACACCTAAGGCTCTCAGTGGTACCAAACTTTGTTGGAAAAGCTTGCTTCCCCTGATCCAACAGCTGTAAGGTTTTAAGTAATTTAACAGAAGACCTCAAGATTCTCAAGCCAAAGCCACTCTTTATACTATCCCCCAAATATTTACAAAGTGAAACACTTTCAGTCTTAACTATGTTTTGTTTGTAAACACCTTATGTGTTCTGATGACCACAGTATCAACACTAAAAGCAGCCTTTTAAACAAAGTAGCTCAAATAAAACCACACGCAGACACACACAAATTCTTAACACCCAGAGGCGTGTCCACAAAGCAAGAAAGCCAGGGTTCAAATTCCTTGGCACCTTTTTACTGAGCACCTGTAAGCACCACCCAAGGACATGACCCACTGCACCCTCTTTACTATCACACCTCCTCACTAATTTACACTTCGGAAAACCCACAGAATGCAACTTACCGGATGATAACTGAATGCTACAAATATTGGACAAATGTCTTTTACCCTGTTCCCCTCTCACATCAGCCAGCCTGAAAAACTTACCCCTGTTTATAGAACAACCCCACCCCAAGTGAAAGAACCATTGCCCACTCTTCTACCCACATGGTGCCCCTGGGGCCACTGGCAGCCTGGCAAAAGTCTCTAGGTATCTTTGCCTTGGTCTCTCTCCCTGTTCCCCTGTCATATACCTCCTGGGAAAGTTATCTGGGCCAAGGACAGTACAACAGAGAGATATCTAGAAATGTCTGGTTTGGGGTAATAAGAATTGTATAAAGAATTAATTATAGGGGGAAAAAGTCTCTGTGAGTGAATATATTCCAAAAGCAAATAGTTACAATTCGACCATTTCAAACACATGGAAGGCCGTTTATACCTCGTCACATGCTACACAGGAGTTTTGGTTTATGCTGAGATGAAACTGCTTGACAGAAAACTAAGAGGAATATTACAACTGATGACAAAACTATCAGTGGAAAGAATACAGATCTTGGATCTCCAATCATGGTTCTACTAGTCAGTAGTGACTCAACAAATATTTATAAAATACCTACCAATGGCCAAACACTGCTTTAAATGCTGGATAGACCGGGATAGACAAGACAAAGACTGCTCTCAAAGACCTTCACGGAGTGGGAAAAACACACACACATTGGAATTATTATCAGAATTATAGGGAGTCAGAAGTAAGGAGATAACTGAAGGAGATTTCAGTCAGTGCTAACTTCTATGACAAAAATTGTGAGTGAAATTTCTGATCCTGTTTCCTCGTGGGGATGTAACCACCTACTTAAAACAAGATGATGAAATGTCAACCGCCTGGCACACAGCAACCCCAAGCATTTACCTGCACACGAATGTACACGCATAGATGCTAGCAGATATACACCTTCCCCCCTTAACTGCAATGTCTGTAATAATCCACTTTGGTATGAAATGAAAGCAGAAGGTAGGCAAAATGTTTGCATAATTCAATTACTCTTAGTGCAATTAAATTACAAATAACTGCATTCAACAAGAATCTATAAAAAGTCAAAATCTAAACAATTCTACGATAAAAGGATAAAAAGAAGTCCAGATACTGGGATAATAGTAGTAGTAGAACTAATATTATAAATACTAATACAGCTGCCTTGCCCACTTTGAGGGATTACCATGAAAAGTCGGGCTCTTTTGCCATACAAGTAAGGCTCAGAGATATTAGCCCGATGTCACAGTGTCAGAAGCTGGGCTTAAACTCTCATCTTCAGATTTCTTTGAGAAAAATAAAAGACAATGAACAACTCCTTCTTAGAGTCACAAGATTTTATACCGAAAATAAACTTTAGGAAAACTGCTGTGCCCCTCTTCCCACGTCACCAATGACTGAGGTCCCCAGAGGCAGAGGGTTCACCCCAGAATGGAGAAGCCAGTAATGACAGAGCGAGAGCAGGACCCAGGCTTCCTAGATCCCAACCCTCTCAAGGATCTGCATCCTCTAGACGGGTCTTTAGATTTCATGAGAACCACAAGGGATAGCCGTGACTTCCAGATTTCAATTTCAGTTATTACTTGTCCCTAAAAACTTCCAGTGAATTGCACCTAGGGCAAATTGAGGACCTTTACTGGTGGCCAGGGAGCTCTCTTCACACGTAACAGAGGAGAACTCCCTCCTGGAGAAAGCTGCCTACAGCACTATAATATACGTTATTAGGAAAATGTATGTTTTCATTTTCTTGAAATGAGAGATCAGCCTGAAAGGAGAGAGATCTTTTGATTGTAATTTTCAGAGTTTGCCTCAGGACAAAGGCTCTTAACAGCTTTTTCTGGAGAGGGAGGTGGAGAGACCAGGTATGGGGACGCGAAAGGGAAGGGGGTCCAAAAATTGCGTCCAAGCTATTTACAAGAAAATGGAGAGAGCCCGGGGCTGTGAAACCGGTGACTAGGAGAGAACAGCTGGGCCCAGGGAGAGCATCTAACCACACCTACTGGCCACGCCCTCCCAGCTGCCCGCAGAGCCACACTGAATTGAAACAGCAGTGGGAGCAGTTAAGATTCCGACGGCAGGAGTCGCCATGGCAACGGGATTCATCTTGCAGGCAAACCCCGCTTCAATTCACTAGGTCCTTCTCGAGCCTCAAGAAACTACCAACTCTCAAGAGGAGCAAAACGGTCACGGGTGGCATTTACTCTTGATGCTTTCCTACGGGTGAAGATGGGAGGTGGGGGTGGGGAACGGGGGTTGGAGTGTATTCTATTCCTGGGTCCCCTAAAATATTTTATGGGCGCAAGAGACAGAACACTCCAATCGCAGGCTGCGATCAACTTGAGAACAGAACCTTTAGCAAGGGTTTGATGAACCAGTAAGAGAAAGGATAAGAGTGCTAGGGAAAGGAAATCCAGAGGACTTTATATAGAGTTCTTGGGCGCCGCGCACGTCTCCAAGCGGATCACCAGCAGTTGGATTTTCACCACCAGCTGGGAAAAGCGATTACCCACCTCTCCTGCCCCGCTGCGAGTTGTATCGCTAGATTATTCGACACTCCCTGCCGCTTCACCACGTCCCAGCCCAGCGCTCCGAGGAGACGCTTTGTCCCAGCTCAGGTGTTCTTTGTCGAGGGAGCCATCAGTGCAAGGGGCACCAAGATGCGCCCTACCCAGAGGGACGGGAGGCGGGAGCCTCGAACCCGGTCCGCAGGCTGCGTAGCCGCCCCTCGCTGCTGTCCGCCAACACCCCTCACTCCTTCCGCAACGCGGCTTTCCCTCCTCTTTCTGGTTTGAGACCTTTAGCTTCCAACTTTGCCTAAATTACAGTCACCCCATCCCTTTCGAATGAGTCTTTGCCTAAATTACAGTCACCCCATCCCTTTCAAATGAGTCTTGAGGTGAGGGTGCCCGGGATGGTGGGGGTTCTGCTGGGACACGAACGAGTAAACGAGTCCCTCCTCTTCGGTCTACACCTCCGAGTCTACCAAGCCTGCCTCGGGATTGTCCCTCCCGGAGCCTCCCGGACCAGCAGCTCCCGACAGCAGCAGTGCCCTCAGCACTCAGCCAAGGCCACGACCCCCAGCGCCCCAGCCCCGGGGTGTCAGCAGCAAGGCGGCGAGTGGTACCCTGCCGGCTCTCTTGGCATCCGAGCACCTCAGAAAGAAAGAAGGGAGGCACCCCCGTCCTCAGGGGCGCCTTCCCCCGGTCTCGCCTTGCTTTGCACCGCGCTTGCAGCCATTTTCCCAAACCCTGCTTGGGAGCCGGGAGCTGTCTATGTCCTGTTCCCACCCAGACTCAACCTGAAGGACGGGTTTAATATTTACCTACTGGCCCCGGAGCTCCGGGGAGGCAGCGGGAGGGCGCGCCGCTAACCCAGCACCGGGCCCGAAGAAGCACGCCCACCCCCGCGCCACCTCGCGGTGCCACTTAATGAAGGAGTGCGGCGGGCGACGCGGAACGTCCCCCTTACCTGAGCAGCCCCCGCATGCTGAAAAGGCGGCTCTGCGCTCCGGGTACAATGGGATTCGGTTAAACAGTTTCCTTCACAGCCGCTCGTAGGTTACCAACTCGCAGGTGACATCACCCTCTCCTCGCCTGATAGGATACAATGCGGCGCTCACTGCGCATGTACTCCCGGGCAGGGCCCGCACACTCCTGGGAATTGTAGTTCACATTCCACAAGCAGAGCCTGGGTAGCTACGCTACTGAGGGTGTTGAAACTACACTTCCCGACGCATTCCTGGGCCTCTTCGTCCCCGCCCCCAACCCCGCCCCCACCGCGACCCGCCCCCTCCCCGCCCTCCAGCCTTGCAGTGTTAGTGTTGGTCTTTCAAAAACCGAGCTGCGGACTCAGCGGCCGGGAGTGGGGGCAGGCACCCTTCGGTCATGCCCTTTGACTTGACCTCCACTCGGTCCCATGCGGGCTCTGAGGGACCAGAGGGGTCCGGGGCTAGTGTGCACCAGCTAGGCAGCTCTGACCAACCGGGTTCTGCTGGCCCCAGCTGGAAAGAGAAGATGAAGCCTTTCACTGCCTTCCCTACGCGTAGCAACTAATTAATAGGATGCATTGGTTTTATGGGTTAAATACGGTCCTGGAATTCCCCCACGTCCCGGAGGATGAGGGACGCCGACTCCGAAGGAGAGGAATCCCCCTTTGCCCCACTTGGTCCAAATTACCCTTCTGTCTTCTCTTTCCTTCTCCCATTTAATGGAGTCAGGGTGACCAGCCAGAATTCGGAAAATAGCTTAGTCGGCTGAGCTGACCGAATAACGGAGGGTGTCACTAATAAAAATGCAGTGTAACAGACTAGATAGTTGCCTCAACCCTCCGTCCGGGAGCCAGCTGCTGCTGCAGAGATAATACTATCGCGCAGCCATGCTTTTGTTCTTCCCTGCAGCAGACTTCCCGCTCTCATGGCTCTCAACTCCCAGGAAGACAACATCCTTGCCTAAAGTTTTAATAAATGACGTATATGTATACATGTACTTTTAAATCCACAACACTCTCCTCTCAATTTACATACCTCACTCTCACTCAAGTTTTTAAAATGACCTAAACCAAAAAACACTGTGCTGTTCAAGAAGGGCTGTGATAGTAATACACCTAAATGTTTAAACGTAAGCAAAAGGTGTGTAGCAGAATTCTGAACCTTCAGGAAAATTTTATTTTTAATATGTAAAAATTTTGCGTGGCACTTTTCATTAGTCAATGAGTACCAAATATGAAAAATTAACATTGAGAGCAAATCTCTAGGTGTCTTTTTAAAAGAAAAAACTATCAATACATCTAGTTATTCCAGTTGTAAAGGTAGAGTAAATTATAATGGCATTCGAGGTTTTAATCACATATAAGGATCAGTTCACACCCCTATTTCCACTAGCAAAATCTTAGAAGACTACATCTTGTGAAAATAAAGTTCACAATTAAAATTTCAAACAACTCTCCACCTAACTGTTGGTGACAGTCTTCTTATCACTCTTATTTTCTCACGTGTTTGTGCAACAATAACTTGGGTTCGAGAGAAAAATATTCATGGAACTAGAAGATCTCAGGGGAGAGGGAAATGCTTTATTTTGCTGAGAGAGGGATTGTAGTACTGAATTCTGCTTTTCTTTGGTCAAACCAATTCCTTATAGCCCAAACATATTTTTCTCTACTGAAGGAAGATAACTTTGAATGTTGCTCTCCTGTTCTGAGCCATTCTGTCCATTCCAAATATTGTCTTAAATGGAACCTAGACAATACAAATGTTCCACTGGCCAACAGATCAAGAGTACAATCAGTGATATTCTAGCTAATGGGTAGACTTAATATATTGCCGTTCACTGTGAGAAAATATTCAGAAAGAAACTTGACCTGGGATGATTCTAAAAGCTCTCCCAGTTCTGTAACTGTGTAAAGCTCTTAGATGGAAATATAATCAGTGAGCTCGAAACTTATTGAGTCAAATTGTATGTGGAGATTCTTTATAAGGCAGGACTTAGCCTTACAGATAAAATTATATGACAATATTGAGGTACACTCTGAGGAGTAACCCTATAGGATAAATCACCCTACAGCAAGTTCTCTTGGGTCTTCGGTAATGAAGGAGAGGATGAAACCTGCCTGAAGAAGAAATTCCATTCTCTATAGCAATTAATATTATAGGGATATGCCATGTTACATAGTTCATTTTTATATGTAAAGGACATCATACACACTAGATTATAAGCACAGAAATGTGTGGATGTACGCATGTGAGCTGCCCTTCCTATTAAATAGATATAAATTTAGATAATAAATATTGAAAGCAAGCCATTGTGTTTGGAAGCATTTTGTTATGCGTGATGGATCTGAACTGATCCCTGCACACTATTTCATTGGTAACCAAGGGAAACAAAGATGGCTCTTCAAGCATCAGAAATGCAGTCCATGGACCTGGGACCAGAGGAAACTTAACAACTTCTATGGAGACAGAAAGAAACTCTCCCTCTCTCTCTCTCTCTCTCTCTCTCTCTCTCTCTCTCTCACACACACACACACACACACATTCACGTACACTCATTGTGTGTGTGTGTGTATTTCTTTCTAGGTGACTAAGTAGTCTCATGCGCCATCAAAAACACCCATTCTGTCTAGCTTAATTTATGTTCTCAGTCAAAGGATTTTGTTACTTTTTTTCTTTTTTAAAGGACTGCTGCTGTTCTAGAATGATCTGAAGAAAGGCCTTGTCTTTTCCCATAATCATTGCCTATTAATTAGGAACCCACGGAACCACTGAAGATAGATTTAACTGACCATCTACAGGTGAAGGAGGGGGAAAGGCACTATGGGATATTTTGCCGATCTTTCAAAATAATCTCTCTCAGTTCTGGTTACAAGGTTTTACTCTAGATGTTGGGTTTTAGATAAGGAAGGAAGTGAGATATCAACAGAGAAAGAATTTTAAGTTTGTAGCCCTGCATGTGTTTTCACACTATTGCTTGGTGTTTCGCAACAATTAAGGTTGTGTCCTGAGCCCAGGTTTGGGATCATGACATTTTCCCACTTCCAAGCAATGTGACTTTGCTTATTTCGTGTTGCTTATTTTCTCTGAGCTTCAGTTTCCTTATTTTTCAAATGGAGCTAACAATAAACCTACTTCATAAGGTTTCTTAGGATTAAATTAGGTGAGACATATAAAAACCCTTTTCAAATTGAAAAGAACTGTACAAGTGCTAGTTCTTGTTATTATTTGCAATTTTCCCCTGAAGATTATCTCAGAAATGTCAGCCCTAATTATGGAACAAGTTAATAAAAACCTAGTTAAATAAAAAATCTTATTCTTAAGAAATTATTAGAAATTATCCAGTGCACATATTAGCTCAGTAATTTGTAAGTTGGCAAAATGTTCTTTGAGGAAAAGAAATGAGAAATCCAAACTAAACAGTGCTGGTCCTCGGCTTGTTTTCTTATCCATGGCTTGTTCTTCCACAGCCCCAAGCTGTCCTCAGTATCCCAGGTCATCTTCCCCAAGCTTCACAGCCTGGCAAGGCACTGCCGGGAGATTGGAGGTAGGAGGAAGGGAGAAGCCAGGGTGTTGCTTTACCTCCACAGAATTGCACTGGGAGATGTTTCCGGCAGCAGCAGCATTTTCCCCATTGAACTGGTTCTTCGTGGTTCCAGCTTCTTCCAGGTCACCCTGGCCTCTGACAATGCCATCTTCTCTGACTGTCCCTCCAGCCTACAGGTGGAGGTAGCTTCCTGCTGTTGCTAATCTTTTGTTGCATGTTTGTTTTCTCAGACCTTCTATCACCTGTGTGACCAGTTCCCTCTCCTATATTATATCTGTTTTAAATACTTAGAATGGTTTTTGTTTTTGTGGTGGAACACTTAACTAATATACTCATGTCTTAGTTCAAGTTCTTTTAGGGGCAAGCAGCAGAATCTTTCTATGGCCAGTTTATGCAAAATAATGAAAGTATTAAGATTTATTCAAAGGATTGAACAACCAAGGCTCCACCTAAGAGCAGGAACCAGACCAGCCCTGGGAACCCAAACAGTGGTAGGTTTTGGACCTTCTCTTCAGAGCATTGCTCTAATAGCCTTCAGTTTCTGTGTCTCTTTGTTCCAAATTTCAAATTCCTGAGAGAAACTGATTACCCCATCTCAGAGCAACTATCTGTAATATTTATCTACAGCTGTGTTTCTTTTTTTAATTAATTTATCTATATTTTATTTTTGGCTGTGTTGGGTCTTTGTTGCGGTGCACAGGCTTCTCATTGCGGTAGCTTCTCTTGTTGCAGAGCAGGAGCTCTAGGTGCACAGGCTTCAGTAGTTGTGGCACATGGGCTCAGTAGTTGTAGCTTGCGGGCTCTAGAGCTCAGGCTCAGTAGTTGTGGCGCACAGGCTTAGTTGCTCCGCAGCATGTGGGATCTTCCTGGACCAGGGCTCAAACCCGTGTCCCCTGCATTGGCAGGTGGATTCTTAACCACTGCGCTGCCAGGGAAGCCCTACAAGAGTGATTCTGAAAGTATGGGCCCGAGATCAGCGGCATTAATGTCACCTGAGCAATTATTAGAAATGCAAATGCTGGGGCCCCACCCACAGACCTACTGGAAAAGAAACTTTAGGGCTGGGTCCCACAATCTTGTTTTGACAAGTCCTCAAGCTTATTCTGACACTCATGAAAGTTTTTGAACCACTTGTCTATAGCAGAGATTACAATATCGCATGGGTCAGATATGATCACTCAGGACCTATCCCTGTGTGTCTGGGAGTCTTCCCAGAGAGGAAAAAGTGCTGTGAACTTGGCAGCCGCCCCTAAGAGGTGTCAGGTAAAGCTGGTAAATCTGTCAGGATCTTAATGGTAAAATTTGGTTCTTCCTGAGGGAGACTTTGTAGCATTCTGAACCAACTAAATCAATTTAGTCACTGCAAAGGCATCTGGAAAAGGTTCATTTCACTGTATTTAATTGAGAACACAGAAAAGCTGAAAAACCAGCATTGGGGCAGGACAAGGGAGATGGAATCTTATAGAAATCTAAGAACAGTAACAATACCGTCAGG